TTAGGCGATCAAAGGAATTTAATTTTGTTCATAAATTTACATTATAATATAAATATAAGTTACGGTGGCAGCCCGGCTGACGGTGAGTGCCCTGTGTTCTTTTGTTTCTTTGTCCTTCCTCTCGCATTTCTGTTTTGTCAGTCAGCTGTTCTGGCCTACCTGCCTTCTCGCCTCGCCTCCGCGGCGTTCCCCCGGCTTCCCTCCGCGCTCCTCGCCCCTCTCGCCTCGGCCTCCTCACTTGAACCTCTCCAGCCCCGCCAGCTCCTCGGCCCCCCGGCGGCCAACTTTCCCCTTTTCCCCTCCCGTCTCTCCCTTTTTCCCTCAATAAACCTCTTTTCCAAACTGACAAGCGTTGCGTTTGGGTCCGTTCTGCCCGAAACCACAACAATATATATCTTTAAAGGAAACAAAGCGGTTCATTTTTCACAATTATTAATAGCCTAAGAGTCAGCGCGACGCTACTTTTACCTTGATAATGATTCTCTGTAATAATTACATACTTTTACTGAAGTATCATTTACACTGGGGACGCTGGGGACAGGTCAGAATCAGAATGTCTCCATCATGTTTTGAAGGTTTTTGGTAAAAGTTTTCTGAAAAACAGCAACAAGAAATGTTGAATAACAAATCAAACAATGCACAAAAGGGAAACATTCAATGCAACTGAAATATAGAAGAAACAAATGTGCATTGTCCAAAAACTGATTACTGACTTGAGAGAGTACTGGCACCTATTTTTTTCCACTTTAAGCACTGGATGATTTAATTCAGGCCATCTAAAGGTGGACAACACGGTGAAAGGTATCAGTCCTTCATAATCAAGATAGCAAAAATGCAGATAGGGTAGACCTACCAGTCACAAAATAATGGAAAGGGTTATGATATTGAGAATGTTTGCTTACAATCACCCTCCTGCATACCCATATTTATCAACATGAATCCCAATTATTGTTTGTAAACACAATGTTTCCCACAGAATGACAGCACAACTTTTAAAGCGGATGATGCTTCCACACAGCTCAAACGTGTTTTTCTTGCTATATGATATGTGGCTTTATTTTCAGAGAAGTCTTTCAGATAAAAAAAATACCAATTCTTTTTTTGCAATCATATTTGTGTGTGAGTTTATCTGTACAAAAGTATGATAGACAATGACAAAAACTGATGGTTCTGAGCGGATATTGAAGGGAGAGTCCAGCCATCTGGTGAAACATCCTGCAGTTTGGAAAATGGACAGAAACCATGGAAACATTATTTTTTTGGACAGTCTCTTGAACTTCAGAAAACAATTCTGAGACTTCAAAAAATACATATTTTCCCCTTTCTTGTCTGTTGACTCATTTTATTGCTCAATCCCAAATTGAAATGAATGAAATTGTTTTATTTTGAAGTCTGCTCAGGATTGAGTTTATAGTCTGTTACACTGAAAGAGAAACATTGTTCTTTTATTCCACCGAATGTGTGCTATTTGGCTGTTGTCACCATTCCAAAATAAACTTAGTTTTTTATGTTTTTTCAAGACTGAATCTAATAACACACACATTAAACTATTTAAAATATATAATGGTCACTCTCGGGCAACTGTATTTAAACTTTTACAAGGTTTCTAAGCAGAAGATGGCTGCATTTTTCTCAGTCCTGTTACCAAAACTTATGTGTCATTTTGAAACCATGTTTAAAAGCAGGTCAAATAATGCCTTTGTTTTTACCTAAAGAAAGTGTTTATTTTAAATAAATGGTTGGTTACATGTTCAAAAACTGACAATTTAAAAATGTAATTTATATGCATGCAACACCTTTTTTGTTTGTTTTGAAGGAGACCGAAACCTCAGGTTTATCAATGTTTTTATCATGTAATTAATTAAACAATTGGGATAAGTGATTGACCAATCATAAGAGAAAAAAATAGTGGGTTATCTTGTTTTTTATGAAAAAACTAAACAATTTAGTAACAGGAATAAGCACAGGGTCACAGGAATGAGCAATGGCTACCAGTATGCAGAAATATTCAAATACACTAGGGGGAAAAAAAACTTATACCACATGCAAAGAAATGCACAGTACCAATGGATGCATTAGGTCATCTAGTTTCATATGATACTCTTCACTATGGATTTAGAATAGAGCCCATGAAGAATCTGAAAGTTCCCCTCTGGACACGCCCCTAAGGAGGTGAAGAGAGTGTATTTGAGTAACAGGACTTAGTTTTTAGCACAGAATTAGCAAATACATGAAATATAGTGACATGGTGTCCATGGTAACAGCACAAGGACACTGAGCACTTTCTAGTGATTCACCACAAATTTCTATTTTTAAAATAAACAATTAAGTCTAAGAAATAATTTAGGTAACTGGAACGAATACTGTAACTGACCTGCTCCGTCATAGTTACAATATAATTTAATATAAAGAAAATAAAATTCCCATGACCTTCAGAAGATGCAGATGATGCAACTTTCTCTTAAACATGGGACCTGTGGAATGTTCCAATTTTGTTAGAGGGGGGAATGTATTGGGGACACAACTAAAATGTGCATTTTAACTCAAATATTACAAACATTTTATGAAGAAAAAATGTTTAAAGCATAGATGGTACATGGAGTCACAAAACTAGATTTCTCAAATTTTTTAATTATGATATTACAATGTAGAGTGTAGTTTGAGGGACTGGGGACCGGTAACAAATGCTAATTTTCAGTGTTCTAGATCATTTTTATTAATGTTTAAATTGCTTTATCTTGCATTTGCAAATACATTAATGTGCAGGGCACTTTGTTTAATAATAAAAAGTATTTTTAAATTAATTTGTATGCATATTTATACATTTTGTGTAAATGGCACCCATTCAGTGGAATGATCTATTTTTGCTTCTTTTGTCTGTTACAACTTTGTGGCAAATACTGTTTCTTAGTAAATTAAAGTGTTTTAATGCTGACAGAGTTATCAAACCCCCTCCATTGTACAAAGTCCATGTCAGTAATAATTCATATAAGATGACCAAGACTCAACAAACTTGCAGGCGTCCTGTTCAAATTACTAAAAGCTCATTCATTTTGAAATTATGAGCTATGAATTAATGTCTACTGAAATAAATGTTACACGAAGCATACTGAAGAGGTAAAATGTCCGTTCAGCCTGCGACTGTTAGGCTAGAATTATTCAAGGTAAAGTTAAATCCGTTCCGCTGCGAGCTGCCTGGGAGAAAGTCAAGTGCACGTTCAGCCTCAAAACGTTTTGACCGGTTTGCTAAGATTTCCGCTTCGAGGTGTCCTTCCTCCAGTTTTGTGGGTGTGTGTCACAGATGTTACCGAATCAGCAGCTATGCCTATTTAAAAACACCACACTATTAAAATGTCTGCAAAGACCCCGAGGGACGTGATAGGCTGTCTAGCTACACAACTTATGGTACATGCTCATGTAGTACTCACACAGTGTTCATCCACACATAAACAACATTACCTTATTGGACTGGGTTTTGAGTCAAACATATTTGCCAATATCTCTAGCACATTAAATCACAATAAAGACTCACTGTCACAATGATCTGTTTCAAATAACATTGAAAACAATTCAGTTATAAGTGATTTACATTTGAAATACATTTTGGATCTGGATGGACACAAATCTATAAATAGACAATATATTGACACCTGACAATATTTTCTAATCTAAGGATGCCGTAGATTAAATGTAAGATGAAGACCAAATACCTCCTGACCTTCACTTTGACTGTTTAATCAACTGCTCCATGCAATTTATTTCTTCTACAAGTAGTTATTGAGTGTTGGACCATAACAAACTCACCATTAAAACCTCTGGTTAAGCAAACAAACTCATTCATGAAGAAAAAATAACATTAATGCTTAAATTTGAATAAATAAAAAACTCTTTTAAGTAAAATGCTGAATCAAACCAGACATGGTTGATGGTACACTGACTAACAACAGGCTAAAATAGACACTAGTTCCACAGTGTGTCTCTGTCGTTATGATCAACATGAACTTTGGGCTCAGTTTCCAGGTCGCCATTTATAATATTATACTCTGACTGCAAAAAAAAATATGGAGAGAATCACTAACAACATTTCTTTGCTGTGGGCCAAATCTCTTCACAGCAGTTTTTGATCAATTTAATTTTAATTCATTACATTCGACTATTAACCAAACCCCCATTCTCTGTTTGAGAAGTTAACCAAAATTCCATGTCAACCATCACCCACTGAAAGAATATTTGACATTGCTGATTTAAACACATTCAGTAGTGGAGACAGTTACCTGCTAGAGCATTGCATCTGGTCTGCATGATCAAGAGTCCATATGAATTAAAATCCATAACCTATTTCACTATTCATGACTGCTGCCCTCCTGCGACACAGCAAGGTAAACAAAGCATCTCAGCATATCTGCTGCTCAGGGCCTTGATTGAGAAAACAGGATTAGTTACTGTTATTTGGCGAACAAGTAACAATAACATTCGCAATCACATGTGGTTATAAGTATATATAATGTCTTAATATATCTAAAGAAATCCCATTGGCTACTCTCTACTGTCTCAGACGATGACATCTTTTGTTCTGCATCGGCCACCGTAGCTGTCCTACGCGTTTGGGGGAGTGGCGATCTTTAAAATATTAAGTGGCTAAAACACATTTTGCTGCTGAATCTGTCCACAGCAGTAAATTGCTTAGCTTCCACACAGGTACAACTCTATACTCCAAAAAGTTGAACCTCAAATTCGACATGATTTCTCAACCTGAATCTTCCATAATAACTAAACTTTCCTTATATGGCACAATTTCTAATCAATAGTGATTAATGTTCACTTCCTACCGCTGGAGCCACTGTTTTACTTCTATAAAAAAAAAAAAATTATAATATTGAATTAAGTTAATTAATGTATTTGTTTCCTTGAATAGAAAATGTATACACATGAAACAAAGGTTGTGTAGTTTCCATAAACAAACAAATAATTTAGCAAAATATAAATATCACTCATCAAACTTTTTAAAAAATCAAATCTTTATTTATTTATTAGTTCTCTCTCTCTCTCTCTCTATATATATATATATATATTATGAAAATGTGTTTCACGTTTCTGTAATAAAGGGATACAATGCCATGAATAGAGTTAAAATATTTGGTTTGAGAAATATCAGAGTCCTTAATGGACAGAATACACTTCCTTGATGAGGAAGACCTGCAGTTTGTCTCCAGGACTCCAGGACTTCAGGTCCTTCCACTTCAGGTCAGTAGGAGGGAAATGGCTACCAAAACCTTGAACCCACATCTGTAAAATGCAAAGGCCACAGACTTACAAGAATAATATTTAAATCATTACATTAAAAGTTACAATAACTTTATTATAGCATGTTATTTTTATCTACTATTAGTTCCATATGATTTTCTTTTATTTCAATTGGACCTCAACAAACAGTTGAGAAAGAAGGATGAAAGAAAAGGAAGAAACGCAACAACATACATTGAGAATTAAAGACTCACAGTGAGAGGTTTTCCAGGACTGAGTTTGAATGATTTCTCAAATGTGTATAAGATGGGTTCTTTGTTGTTGATTTGTACTTTTAACATCCAGCCTCCCAGTTCTTGGTCCTACAGGCAGGAAATTGGCCGCAAGAGGGAAGATTAGAGAAACAGTTACAGTTACAGTGTGTGTTAAATCCATTGTGTTTATAAATGAGGGTTGGTCACCTCCCTCTTTACATTAAAACAAGAAAAAAAATAGATTCTGGGGTAAATGACATTAGCTTTGATATTTGCAATATCCCTGGTTAATTCCTGTTATTCATATTGTACATGCTTATATATCACTCACACAATGTTCATCCACACTTAAACACCATTACCTCACTGGACATGTTTCTGAGACGAATAAATATCCTCGATTTGTCGACATCAACCTCAATGACATGTCCCGCTGACATGTCCTGCGGACTGGCTGAGTCAGTATCGTCCTGCTGCTGGAACTGAGGACTATCACACTCCGGCCCTTGCTGAGAGGGAGACAACACACACACACATTAAGAATAATTTAAGATTCAAGAAGTTTATTGTCATTCCCTCAGTAAAAAAAACACAACGGCTTACTTTGCAAGTCTCCCTTAAAAAATAAATATGTATTATAATGTAATTATATCGATATATAAATACACAATACATAAAAATATTAAATACAATAAACAACAATATATAGGCTACAGACTGCAGAATAAAATAAGGTGCAGCATAGTTGGAAACAAAACCTGAGCGCAAAAGGTGAGGCTGTGTGTGTTGTGCTACAGACGGGACAGAAAGGAGTGATGGAGAGTGATGGAGGTGGTGTTTGATTTATTGTTCAAGTGTCTGATGGCCATGGGTAGAAGCTGTTTGAGTGTCTTTTTGTTTTGTTTGTAAATGAGTGATGGGAAGGCTGCTCCAGAGAGGTACTGTGCAGTTTTTAATCACACGCTAGAGAGCCTTCCTGTCCTCAGCAGTGCAGTTTCCACACCACACTGTGATTGAGCTGGTGATCGCACTTTCAACCGTGCATTTGTGCAGGTAACTGTGCAAGTTACTGAGGATTTTGGTTTCACGTGCAAAATTTCCTCAGCCTTTTTAAGAGCTACAGTCTCTGTTGTGCTTTCTTCGAAAGCTGGTAGCTGTTGTGAGACCAGGTAAAGTCTTCGCTGATGTGGGTTCTGAGGAATCTAAAGGTTTTCACCCTCTCCACCTATGTTTCCCAGATGTGTATCGGCTTGTGCTGCTACTTCCTCCTCCCCGTAGGATCAATAATCTTCTCCTTGATCTTTTCTGCATTAAGAGGTCATTTTCCTGCCACCAGGCCAACAGTCCACCTCTCTTCTGTATGCTGTCTCCTCCCCACCAGTGATGACGGTGGTGTCGTCTACAAATTTTATAATCCTGGTGTTGGTCTGGGAGGCTACATACTCATAGGTGAAGAGGGGGTACAGCATATGACACTCGGGTCTATTCAGTCTAAGAAACTGTTATTTGGTGTCTCAGATTTGCTCTCATGTAGTTTGAGTTGTCTTGGTTTCAGATGGATATCAATAATTTGTGACATTAAAAGAAAGTAGAAAAGCAGTTAAATTAATAACAATACTTCAGGTTAGAATACATGAACCTTGGTCTGCACCTTCTTTGGCTTCTTCACATCTTTCTCAGCTTTCTTTCCTCTGGTCTTCTGAGAAAAGAGAGAAGGAGAGAGACAGCATGAGGCTTTTAGTTTTATTTATTGCACATAATATCCTGGAATGGATGACAAATCATTGCTTATTGGCTGGAGGTTTTGATTTATTACCTGTTAATGTGCACATAATTTGGTTTCAGGTGAAACAACCAGCACACTACTAACTGATGAATTCATCATGTAATTAGAAAATAACACTAACTGAATGTCTTAAAGTGAGCATGTCAAGAAGAATCATCAACAAAATCTAATCTTTATCATTTTTCTCTCACAGGACAATAAAGAGATTTTCTGCTACACGTTTGTGTTACAGTGGCACGTCAGTTGTCTGGTGTCAGAGATTTTTTCTCATGGTTAAAGGGGCATTATGTACTGTAGTTTCCAGCAGCCACTAGCGGTGTGGTTTTAAGATTGCTACCGGGCGTGTGTTCGTACGCGTGCTCGGTTGAACTCATGAGTGAACATAATCCGAAACACAACCGCTTTCATACAGAAATCCTGCAATAAACGCAGAAACACCAGCAATACAGGCTGTGGCATTTCACTCAGACCTGTTCAGGCTCTCTTACTTCAACATTCCCGTCTCAGTGGCAGATCAACACCAGCTCCGTAACGTTACTTCATTCAGCGCAGCGAAACGCATATCGGCACATTCTTCCCGGAAAAAAGGCAGTGACAGCGGCTATAGACAGACAGGGAGACAGCTTCACACAATATATTGGAAACTCAGGTAAACTCCCACTGTAACGTTACAGAAATATTTTGTCAGCTGCAGGTTGAACTAATCCATGCTTGTTACATGATAACGTTACATTTACTGCATTTAGCTGACGTGCTACAGCGTTAGCTCGCCTGCTGCTTTTCAGCAACTATTATCTGTGTATCTTTCACCGGAGGCTCAGCAAAGTCAGGACAGCTACATGTGCTGGTTGATAACGATACGGGTAGTGAGCTTCATTGGATTTTCTAACCAGATTGTGTCACACTTTATAACTGCTAGACCGCAGTAAGTAACTTTAGTGTAGTGTGAGTGGACTGCATGTCGTTAGCTGCCGTGTTGTCGCTGTAGTCTGAGAGGATCGGGAGCACGCACAGAGCTGAGTCTGAGTAGTGAGCAGTGGCTGATGCAAGCAACAGAGAAAACAGGCGTGTGCTTCATTCCTAAGTGAGCTTTGAGTCCACTGACAATAAGGCAATAAAAATTTCATTTATTAATAAGTAATTTCTTTGAAAAACTTACATATATCCCCTTTAATTTGATCATGTTGGTCCCTGCAACTAATCAATATCACATGGAGAAGACAAAAAAAGATTGATTTGGGTGAAAAGATGAACCTCATTCAGGTCTTTCTCAGCTTTCTCTGCTGAGCTCACATTGCTGAGCCTCTGGTGAAAGATAAACAAATAACGTTGGTGACTGAAAAGCGGCAGGTGGGCTAACACTGATGTGTGATGTCAGCTAAATGCAGTCAACGTAACTTTATCATGCAAGCAGCATGGATTAGTTCAAATTATTACTGAAACGTTGCGGTGAGAGTTGACATGAGTTTCCAGCACGTTGCATGAAGCTCATGAGCGGATTTTGCTTTGCGTACGAGCATATACCTGGTTGCAATCTAAAAACGACTACATAATGCCCCTTTAAAAAACACAAACCATAGACAGTATCCCCTTTTTCTTCTTCACTTCCTTCTCAGGTTTCTTGCTTCTGGTCTCCTCCTGCAGTTTCTCTATCTGGGAGACACAAGAGAGATGGAGAGAGACAAGACGCACATACATAGATGCACAAGAAATACACAAGCACCTGTTAGTTTTGATCTGAATGTCAGAAGAGCCTAATGTTCTGAATGAGGTCCTGCTCAGAAAACAAACTTAATATTGTTTAATCACCTAGATACTGATGACTTTTCTTGATATTATACATAATATTAGATGTCATTTTTCTACTGATGACATAACACTTTTCCTCTAAACCCTGGTTAAATAGAATGGATTTCCTGGATATCTGTGAATGATGAAAATGCTTTGAAGCAGCTCAACAGGTTGTTCAAAAGCGAATTTAAACCGCTATTTGACTGAATTTGTTTTAGGCAATCAAAGGAATATATTTCTTTGTTCATGTGTAGCCTTTATAACATGTAAAACATGAAATATTTCTACTTTCATATTACAATGATTTATGCTAATTTCTGTGTTCTGTCATCTTGTTTGTGGCAAACAAAATGGTTACTAGTAAAATGCTTTTCTTTATATTTATTTTCAAATCAGAAGTTAACATTTTATTTAAAAAAATATATATATATTTAAAGAAGAGAAAGTGGTTGATTTTACACAACAGTGGGCATCCGTCCAAACAATGAAGGAGTAAATCCAAAGTTGACAAAACCCAATGTCTTCAATTTCATTTTGTATTTTTAAAATATGTTGACTCTTTATGTGGTTTATGTTGGTAGACATTTAAATAAGATATAATAAAGTATCTAAACTAAAACAACCAATAGGTGGGTGGAAACAATTTCAATAAAAAATGAACCTCTTTTGTCTTGGTTTCCAACTCAATTTGGTTCTTCTCCTCACTGAGCCTCTGGACATCAGCCGGCAGGCTGTCCACCTGAGAGGGGAGAGAAAAATGAGAGAATGTTTCTCTTATTAAAGTATGTGAGTTAAGATAAACAGTAAGACATGACAGGTAGGTACTTCATGGTCTGACTTGAGCAACATTTGAATTTGAGTATAAAAGAGGTGAAAAGTCTTCATTTTAGTTGGTAGAGTGCACACCCCATGCACAAAAGGCTGAGTCGTTACTGCAGTGTCCCAGGTTCAAATCCAGCCAGTGGCCCTTTGCTGCATGTCGGCCCCTATCTCTCTCTCTCCAACTTTCAGCTCTATCCACTGTCCTTTTTAATAAAGGCAGAAAATGTCCCAAAAAATAAAAAGCAGCAGGTTTCTAGTTGGACCTTTGGTGAGCATGTCAAGAAGAATCATCAACAAAATCTAATCTTTATCATATTTTCTGTCACAGGACAACAGAGATTCTCTGCTACACGTTTGTGTTACAGAGCCACGTGAGTCCAGTTTCAGTTGTTTGGTGTCTCAGATTTTCTCTCATGGTTAATTTGATCATGTTGGTCCCTGCAACTAATCAATGTCACATGGAGAAGCCAAAAAAATTGATTTGGATGAAAAGATGAACCTCTGTCAAGTCTTTCTCAGCTTTCTCTGTTTGAGAAACTGATTAATGACCTGCAGAGAATCAACTGGCTAATTATAACGTTATTATCAAAATATACACTACCGTTCAAAAGTTTGGGGTCACCCAAACAATTTTGTGTTTTCCTGAAAAGTCACACTTATTCACCACCATACGTTGTGAAATGAATAGAAAATGGAGTCAAGACATTGACAAGGTTAGAAATAATGATTTGTATTTGAAATAAGATCTTTTTTACATCAAACTTTGCTTTCGTCAAAGAATCCTCCATTTGCAGCAATTACAGCATTGCAGACCTTTGGCATTCTAGCTGTTAATTTGTTGAGGTAATCTGGAGAAATTGCACCCCACGCTTCCAGAAGCAGCTCCCACAAGTTGGATTGGTTGGATGGGCACTTCTTGCGTACCATACAGTCAAGCTGCTCCCACAACAGCTCAATGGGGTTCAGATCTGGTGACTGCGCTGGCCACTCCATTACCGATAGAATACCAGCTGCCTGCTTCTGCTCTAAATAGTTCTTGCACAATTTGGAGGTGTGTTTAGGGTCATTGTCCTGTTGTAGGATGAAATTGGCTCCACTCAAGCGCTCTCCACTGGGTATGGCATGGCGTTGCAAAATGGAGTGATAGCCTTCCTTATTCAGAATCCCTTTTACCCTGTACAAATCTCCCACCTTACCAGCACCAAAGCAGCCCCAGACCATCATATTACCTCCACCATGCTTAACAGATGGCGTCAGGCATTCTTCCAGCATCTTTTCATTTGTTCTGCGTCTCACAAACGTTCTTCTTTGTGATCCAAACACCTCAAACTTGGATTCATCCGTCCACAACACTTTTTTCCAGTCTTCCTCTGTCCAATGTCTGTGTTCTTTTGCCCATCTTAATCTTTTTCTTTTATTGGCCAGTCTCAGATATGGCTTTTTCTTTGCCACTCTGCCCTGAAGCCCAGAATCCCGCAGCCGCCTCTTCACTGTAGATGTTGACACTGGTGTTTTGCGGGTACTATTTAATGAAGATGCCAGTTGGGGACCTGTGAGGCGTCTGTTTCTCAAACTAGAGACTCTAATGTACTTATCTTCTTGCTCAGTTGTGCAACGCGGCCTCCCACTTCTTTTTCTACTCTGGTTAGAGCCTGTTTGTGCTGTCCTCTGAAGGGAGTAGTACACACCGTTGTAGGAAATCTTCAATTTCTTAGCAATGTCTCGCATGGAATAGCCTTCATTTCTAAGAACAAGAATAGACTGTCGAGTTTCAGATGAAAGTTCTGTTTTTCTGGCCATTTTGAGCGTTTAATTGACCCCACAAATGTGATGCTCCAGAAACTCAATCTGCTCAAAGGAAGGTCAGTTTTGTAGCTTCTGTAACGACCTAAACTGTTTTCAGATGTGTGAACATGATTGCACAAGGGTTTTCTAATCATCAATTAGCCTTCTGAGCCAATGAGCAAACACATTGTACCATTAGAACACTGGAGTGATAGTTGCTGGAAATGGGCCTCTATACACCTATGTAGATATTGCACCAAAAACCAGACATTTGCAGCTAGAATAGTCATTTACCACATTAGCAATGTATAGAGTGTATTTCTTCAAAGTTAAGACTAGTTTAAAGTTATCTTCATTGAAAAGTACAGTGCTTTTCCTTCAAAAATAAGGACATTTCAATGTGACCCCAAACTTTTGAACGGTAGTGTAGATTATAACTCATTGCACCTTTTAATATCTGTTTGTGATCAGTTTAAGCCATTGTTGAGTTTGCTTTACCGGTGTGTGTTTGTGTGTGTGTGTGTGTGTGTGTGTGTGTACATGTCTCTTAAGCTGGCTGATGTCTGCTTTCTTGTTCTCCAGTTCAGGATTTGCCTCCTTCAGCTCATCACTGCTCTTCCTCCCCTCTGTGTCAGCTGCTTGTTTGTTGTCCTCCAGCTAACAGACAGACAGATGGATGTTTATCCTCTACAAATCAAACATAACATCACCTTGATACTTTATGACATTTCCTAACTTTATTAAAATTGATTATAAACATTTTTAACTGATATGACATGTTTCATTAGTCTGCCACTCAAAATAACTTTAACTGTAAAACCTGGTTAAATTCATTTCTATCTGCTCTATATCTGTTATGTTAGCAGCACCTTTTAAGCAGCTCCTAAATCCCAAATAATCATATCTGAAATCAAAACAGTTTTTAAAAAGACGTCTATAAGTTCTTGGGTCTTGAAATGTGTCACTTTAAACATGCAAATGAACTATAGATGATGTAGAGCATGGACACATTTGCAGGAGAACTGAAACTAAACAAGAAGAAAGATTGAAAGAAGTCTTATATAAAACAAAATGGAAAGATGAACCTTGTCAGTCTCCCCTCTCCTCTGCTGCTCCTCCTGGGGCCGCTTGTTGTTCCTGAATAAGCACTGAGAAAAGCAGGGAAGGAGAGAGATTAGGCAAAATATGAGGGACACTTCTTTAGGTCTTGTCCGCAAACATACTACTGAATGTCATAACAGACACAAAAAGGATAATTAACGACGATACATTTCCTCTGTTTTTATTTTCAACCAGGTCTCCTAGAAAATACATTTGCATAGTTTACATTGCATTTCCTACTTTAATGTTTTGTTTATGTTCAGAGGCAGCGTTTCTTTAAATGACTGAAGCACCGCATGTATGTTCCTCTCTGTAGGCTTAGCAAAGTGGTCGGTGTGGATGGTGGCCCTACTTTGACTACAGCGACATGGGTTAGCACGTTAATCCAACAAAAGTACATTGTTGCATTTGGAGAAAGATTGAATATGGGGGAAATGTTAATAAAATATTTTGTGTCTCTTCTGACCTGGTTTAATTCAGAACTTTTCTGAATTAAACCAGACTGCTTTCTCTCTGTCTTTCTCTCACCTGCACCAAGTGCTTTTAGAGCCTTCACGTCACAATAAAACGTTTCATCTTGCAAATATTGTACTGCAAGATCTAATATGTTTGTGGAAAACAAATGAAATATGTTGGGACTGAACATTTCACTGATACATTCATTTCATCATTAGTTTCAAGATGTTACTATCAAATGTAATCCAGCTGGAATTATGTTGCCTTCAAAATGTATTTGCTATATAAATGTAATTTCTAGGTTACAACGTAAATTATATATTAGGAAATCTCAGATTGTATTATTGTACTTATACTGCAATCGCTTACCCGAGGAAACAAGTACCAGGACTTGGCTGGTGCAGCTTGATTTCTCTCAGTCTGGGAGTGAGAAGAGATAAAGACAAACATGTTCATTTAATAAAGCATGTGAGTGATCACTGCAAACAATGACACCTCGTTTCTGCTTTAGTGGTAGGGTTAAGGTAAACTGGCCTTTTTTATATATTTGCTTTTAAATTTGTTGTTGCTTTATGAGACGTCACTCAAGAGTGACTTCATGTGCACGGCTGAGCTTCTCAAAGCAGTGTCTGTGGTCCTGAAGTCCAGTTAAGGGGACTTTATATGATACACATTTACATAACATCTAAGATAATACCATTAAAACTATTTAATATACATCAAACAGCAGAGAAGAGACATCTCAATAACACAGAAGGATAAAGATAAAGAGTTGAACCTGACTGTTCTCGCCCACCGTATCCTCATTCTGAGCATCAACTTGATTTACAATCTCATCCGTCTGATTCTCATCATGGACCACCTGCGACAGAAAGAAATACACATCTGCTGCTGAGAGGAGAGAGAGATGAACAGAGATCTGGTCTGATCTCCACCATTTTATCGGATTCATTTTCCTTCCTCATCATTAGCTGCTCCTCTTGTTTATTTCTCTTCACTGGAAATCAAATTCATTCTTACATGTTTAATCTTTTCTCCTTCTCTGTTCTGATCTGTCATGAGCTGCTGTTGCTCTCCTTTAGCGTTGTTCCTTCCTTCCTCATCAATTTCATCACAGCAGCTTGTCTTAGTCTCTGTGTAAAATAAAATGAACATATAAAAGACATTTACTATCTTATCACATTTCAGTCTAAAATGGGCTACAAAATAAGATAACTGACAATTTCACTGATTGGAAATAAAAGTACACACCATAGCATCTAAAATACTGACATTTTGATCAAATGAGATTTAATTTACCTAATTTAACAATCCATTCATTCATTTCCTCATGAGAGTTAGTACACAAAGCACTGCAATTGCTAATAATAACTAATATGTAACTTACTGACTGTGTTTTGTCTCCGTTTGTACACAAAAAAGACAATCGCTGCAGACATTAACAGGATGCAAGCAGCCAAACTAACAGCCAAACCAATAATGGTGGACAGAGAACTGGACTGGACCTCAAAGAAATCATCTGAAATGATAAGAACAAAACAACTTGGCATTTTTATAAAACTGACCAATGTAGTTTGAAACTCAAACAGTAAATCATTAATAATGTCTACCTGTAACCTGGATGTTAGTGTCTCTGGTCTGGTTGATGTCCTTCTGTTGGACTCTACAGGTGAAGCTGTTGCTGTGTCTCTTCTCCACAGTCACTCTGCTGCTGACAGTATAGAGGTCATCAGGACCTCTGACTGTCTCTGTAGGTCCAGCAGAGAGGAGGTTTCCCTCACCGTCCAGCCAAAACACCTCAGGCTCTGGATACCAGCCTGCAGACTCACACTGTAACACCACTCCACTGGTGGCTTTAACAATTCCTGCTAAATTTATGACTGGTGAGGAGACAGCACCTGATGCTGAGAAAGAGGAACTATTTAACAGTGCTGTTACTGGAAGTGAAAACTCCTACAGTGCATCACAAATTAATTAAATGTCCTGAAAAGTGGATATATAATGAGTCATTGAATTTATTGAATTTCAAATGGCATTTATTTCAGAATAAATGCTAGGTTATTAACTTTGCCTTAGCTTAGTGAAACAGTGTTAATTACTAAAATCATTTTAAGACTGCAAAGTGAACAAGAACATTATAGACTTACCAACAATGAGCTGAACAAAAGATTGCAGACCATGTGCTGGACTAAAACATGTGTATATTCCCTCATCCGTGAGTTTCAGTTTGGAGAGTTTCAGCGAGATGTTTCCAAACTTCAGCTCATCGATGAAGAGTGACGTTCTTCCCTCGAAGGATTGATGTTTTTTACCCACAAGTTCCTGACCAGAACGCCACACATGGACAAATCTGGGGTTCAGGTCAGGTCTCGTCCACTCCAACGTCAAACCAGAAGCATCTTCTTCAGGTTTCAGATGACATGGTAAAATGATGTCATCACCAAGTGTTGCCACAATTGGCTGAGATGGACCAATCAGCTGAGGCTGACCTGGAAAAAACAAATGTCTGTTTTAATGATCAAAAATGAAGTTATCTTGACTCCTGTAAGGCTTCATCTCCTCCGATTAGACAAAACTCTAATAACAAAGACTCTTTTCCTCAGACTTCTTTAAAGATACTTATGTATGTAACTTACCTCTACAGACATGTTTTAAGAGAAGATAGAAAACCAAAACACTGAGGTGTGTGAGATGAGATTTAACAGGCTTCCCATGGAGCATCATGGAGCTCTGAAAATGGAAATCAGTGATAACAGTGATAATTTACAGGGAATGGGGCTTAAAATAGATCCAGTCATTAGATACACTTGTTTATAAAAGTCAATGAGCCTGTGAGAACACCTTTGCTTTGCCTTCATTCCTACTTATGTTGTGACAACATTTCTGCTAATGCTGACAGGGTGTCCGCATTATACTTTTATTATACTTTCATTTCTGGCCCGCAGATTTTCTTGTCTGCATCGTTAAGAAAAAAAACACTTTCAGTTTGAAACGTGTGCCTTTAAATCCGCATAGTTAATTTACAATGTGTTTTGAAGCTGCCATATTCATGTGATATTTTAATTACACTAGAACCCTTCCCATGTCACAAAGTCCAATATCTCGGTTGATTATATCACAGGTGTTAAAATGACTTACATTTCAAATGCATTTCTTCCACTGTGAAATCCATGAAAATGACTATTATCTAGTTATTATCAATTCAGAAGGCAGAGGCCCACCTATTTTTGTGTCTAATCTATTCTACATGCAATGTTAGACGAAGGCGAAATAGACCTACCTGTTGAATGTTCCGTGCCACACTCACCTGAGAATGTGCGGCCGAAGTCTGCATCGGAACTCTTCGGGTCTTCGGCCAGCGCTCGGAGATCTCTGCCTCTGATTGCCTTGTATTTGTTGCATCCCTTGATTCGCTTGTTTAGGACGCTGTGGGTTAGCTACAGCCAATCAGATGGGCTATATGTTATGTTCTCTCGTCTGGTGGGTGTGTCAGTGTTGTGCTGCGTTCCAGGCAACTCGGAACTGGGATATTTCCAACTAGAAAAAGGACAGTGAAACGCCACTTGAAGTCGGGTTTCCCACTCGTGAACTCGAAGAAAAATATGTAGATAAACCGACTTCACGAGTAGCAGCCGAATGACGTCACACAGCCATGGCAGCTCCCGTCGAATCACACATTGTAAATGGTAAACCATAAACTAAAAGGCAAGTAAAGTAGCCTATTAAATTAAAATAATGCATACTATTATCAAATAGTAAAACTTGTTCTGCATGTAAATTGACATAGAAATATTTTTTCCTGACCGCGGTCAGCCATATTTAGGCTGTTTATATTTGGCGTCATGCACCTGAAAAGCTTTGAGGTCGGAAGTCGGATATTTCAACTTGGAAATTCCCGACCGGTCTGGAACGCGGCATAACTATCTGAATTTTGCCTTTTTGCTCTGTTGCTTTCCAGCCATTTAATCTCTGTTTCCATCTTCAGATTTACCTGCCTAACCAGTCTGTTCCTCTCCATCTCCAGCCAGCCAGACTCACCAACTCACTCTAACAACACCACCCTGGACGCCTCACTCATTGTGTGAAAAGCCAAACTTTAGTTTCAGATTGGAAAAGTGTGTATAGACCTATATATAAAACTTATGAGTTTTTGGTTAATGGCGTGTCTGTGGCGTGGCAGAAAAGGATCTGTAGCAAAATTTTAAATTCAAATACAATTTTTATGGCAGGACCTTTTTTAAAGTTAAATATTTCACTACTTCTTCCACCCCTGTTTCCACAAAATTAATCTGCACAATATTACCTAGAAACATATTTTTAAAAATCTGAGTGGTACAACAAACTAAACCTAAATTGTTCTCCCCAAGTCTTTATTCTGTGCTTGTCTCATCTCAGGATAGGGAGGCTACTGTACTGCATTATTCTTTTTTGCTTTCTTTTTCTTTGATTATATTGTACTAACACATGACATTTTACCTTGAAATACTCTATCGTCAGGAGAGTGTAAGAAAGGAAATTATGATGGGCATTTTTCAGTTTTATAGACCAAATGATTAATTGAGAAAAATAATCAGCAGATTAATCAATGCTATTATCTGCCACCAAATAACACCAACAATAAAGAACCTTTAGTACTTTGAAGAACCACATAAAGTATACAAAGAACCCTCACCTGAAAAAAGAGGTTCTGCGGTTGGCAGTGGTCATTTTTAGAACCCAAGATTCATTTCAAGAACCATTTGAGAGCGTTTATTTTGTGTATATTTTGAGTGTACAGCACTAAAGACACTGAGTGGAGTCAAAATCAGGTGAATCGTGTTTGAGTTTAAATATAAAAATTGTAGTTGTAAAATGTTTCAGCCCACAAAGATGATGCATTCTAATTCAGCAATGTTTTAATTTTTAACATAAGAAATCCTAAAATATTCAACATTTGAAAACAACATGTACTGTGTAAATGTCCCCTGCTGCTGTAAACAATAAAATAAGCCTGTAAGTTCATAAAAAATTTTGATTAACAAAATGTGTCTGTATATTTCTTTACTTAAACTGAACATTCATCACGTTTTACTACAAGGGCCAGAGTAGCCAGAGAGGGTGTTCTGAGCTCAGTTATAGTGCACATCACACAGCCCAGTTCACAGTCAACCAATTGCAGCTGAAGATATAAACAGTCTTTATGGCTAATGTCTTTAATAGGCCTATGTTTTTCAAAGGTACTGTTATGGGTCTATAATGGTGACAAAATAAAGGTATAAAAATGACAAGCTAGACTTATCCAGTCGGGTTTCAGGCCAGTGAGCAAATGTCCAAAGTAAGACAGCGGTTCATCCAGGCAGGTTTTAGGCAGGCAGAGATGATCGCTGGAACTCTATCGCAAAAGGACTTATAATATCTATTGTTTAAAAGGTATAATGGGGAAGTGGGCACAGGTGTGTAGATGGGTAGGGAGGGTCAGCTGATGTGGAAAAGTGGCGATATTAGGGTTATTGCAGAGAAAGTGGGAGTAGCAGGATCAGATGTGTAAATAATTAGCAGGAAAAGGAAGCAAGCTTTATGAAAAATGTAAAGGCTGTTTTCTATTAATTCCTTTACCTGATACTATTTCTGAGCTCAAGCTTAGAGACGATAGTAAATTCTTTTTGGCTGTAGTAAAACTTTGTCTTTGGAGAAGCTAAATTCAATTCAAGTTTAAATTTACATTAACAGGCAGAGGGAATACCAATTTGTGTACTCGTAAAAGACCACATTTAAAGAGTGTCTTTCAAAAGCTGTCCATGCATTGATATGTTTTGATTTTGTCTATGTATTTTGACTATGTTTTTGTCAGGATTAAACGGATTTCAATCTCCACAGCGAACACTCACAAAGTCAGCAAACACTTTCAGTTATGAAACCTTTTGTTTTTCAGCTGGTTCTGGGAGAGTCCTGCTCTTCCTGTGATGGAGGGAGATGCTGTGACTCTGCGCTGCAGAAACAAGAAGACTTCTTCTCACCTCCCAGCTGATTTCTATAAAGATGGCCTCCTCATCAGGAACAGCTCAAAAGGAGAGACGGCCATCCAGTGTTATCAGGTCTGATGAAGGACTCTACAAGTGTAACATCACTGATGTTGGAGAATCACCAGAGAGCTGCTTGGCTGTCAGAGGTGAGACATTAATAATTTTTGCATACCTGCAGTGGAGGATAGCTCAACTATTGATTGTTGCCAGAGTAATGCTCCAGCATCTCAGAAACAACATACTGTATATTGTTAATGTGCCAAGAATAGAGACTTGTCTCTTCTCAGATCACTCTTTCTACGTTCTCCTCCTTGTGATGGTGCCTCAGCTGCTGCTGGTGGTGGGACAACTTCACTGTAGGAAAATCAGAGTTATACAAAAGTAACTCGTACTCATGTTAACAGGTTAAAGGTGGTTTGGTCATTAAAATAATGATGCAGAAAACCTCCCATTATGTTTTGGGGTCTGCGAAATGCTGTAGAGCAGAAGAGATGCACTTTAAAAGACCAAGATTTTT